TTAGTCCTCGAAGTAAAACTTTTACATTTTTAAGTTTTGATTAAGTTTTTGTGACTTTAGATTCTTGCCACAAATCTTTAGTGACTTTGACACTTTTCGTCCTTGCAGTCAAATCTTTTATATTTTGATGTTTTTGCCATGAATTTTTAGTGACTTTGACACTTTTCAACCTTGGAGTCAAAATTTTTACATTTTGACATAAAAAACACAAAAAACCTCCTTTAGAATTTTGCCACTATATTTTTCCAACTTTCGCAACTTTCACATTATAGCCACAATATTTTTCGTTTTTTTCCTTCAATGTTCTTTCTTTTGGTTGTACACTTTTGACATCTAATTTTAGGGGTTATCAGTTTTCTCCTTTATTTGTGGCGATTTACACTTTCAACACATCTTTTAAAGTTTGCCGATATTTAACTTCTATGACATAGTCTAAAAGATGCGGAGCCGCGTGTCCTTTTCTAGTATATATTAAATCTAAAGGAGCTTAGGAACATTAATTTTTTTGCCCTTAGGTTTTTGTCACAAATATTTAGTGAATTTGATAGTTTTCGTCCCTAAAGTCAAAACTTTTACATTTTTGCGTTTTGATTAAGTTTTTGTACCTTTAGGTTTTTGCCACAAAACTTTAGTGACTTTGATACTTTTTGTCCTTGCAATCAAAAGTTTTACATTTTGGTGTTTTTGCCACAAATCTTTAATGAATTTGACATTTTTCGTCCTTGTAGTCAAAATTTTACATTTTGACATAAAAAACACAAAAAAAACCTTCTTTAGAATTTTGCCACCATATTTTCCCAACTTTTGCAACTTCAACATTATTGCCACAACATTTTTGGATTTTCTCCACTAGTGTCCCTTCTTTTGGTTGTACACTTTTGAAATCTAATTTTATGGGTCGTCGACTTTCTCCCCTATTTGTGGTGATTTACAATTTCAGCACATACATTTTAAAGTTTGCTGATTTTTCTCATATTACCCCAAAAGCGGTGTAGCCGCGAGTTCTTTACTAGTTAGTATATATTTTTGTTGAATAGTGGTAAAAAAATAATTTTTAATTAAAAAATGGATAGTTTTTTTTTTTTAAATCACACTCTCTCTCCTCTACAAGTTGTTGTCGAGTAGGATAGTTGAGTTCGACATGTCGAGTTAGAGGTTCCAAACTAAGACCATCTTCAAACCTTAACACTTTTTTTTACATTATGCATATAATTATAGTGTAAAACACTAAAGTCCTCCAACTCATTACAGTATATTTAGCACTAAAAAGAATATTCTATGGCAAGTGATGTCCAACCTAGCTGGGTTGATGCACCGGGTTTTATAACCCTGTGGGGCGTGAGGTTGGGAGTTTTATTCCCTTAAACTACCTCTTGTGGTGCCACATGTGGGGAATTTTTCCCTGGAAATCTCTATGGGGGTTGGGTTTGCCCTGTAAAGGAGCTCGAACCCGGGGTGCTTGTTGAAATATTGCGAGTAGGCTTCCACTTAATTCGTTTGTCGTTTCCAAAAAAAAAAATATTCTATGTATATTGTTTTTATTCAACATTATATTTAGTGTTGCACTAAAATCCAACATTGTATATAGTGTAAGGTTTGAACATTATAATGTAATTTATAGTGTAAAAATGCATTTTTAGTGTAGGGTTGAAGATGCCCTAACTCAATGCATGTCGAGCCCGTACTAATCCCACTCTCAGCAATCTCATGGGCCAACGTTAAGATGAGACATGGGTTTTTGTGATTTTGAAATATTAGGTTTGATTTTAAGGTTCCTCAACAAAAAAATGAAAGAAACTTAGTACATGAAAAAAAAATGGAGGTAAATTGACCATTTTATAGATTTAATGGCTTGGTAGTCGGTTGTTGCATTGAACAGCTTAGGGACGACAGGTATTGTTGTGAAATGAAAAAAGAAAAAAATATTATATTATATCCATACAATGATAAACCACATCTTTTGTAATTTAGTCTAAAGATGAAATATATTAATCCATAGTTGAGAAAAATTAAAATATTATTTAATTCCAATCTTAAAAGGATTCTAGAAGAAGAAAAAAAAATAAAAAAATAAAAAAAAAGAGCACCAATAATTTCAAGCTTTCGCCATCGCCGAAATTTTATAAGTTCAAGCTTTCGTAGGGTTTACACTTTATATATACATTCTAGAACTTTTAAAATAATGTAGGATTGGAACTCTTTTAAAATTGTTATTAGAATAAAACTGAATTTTCTAATTGAATAATGATTAGATTATTTGGTTCCGATATTCAGAATTTTTTTTATCAGTTATTATCAAAACCGAATTATTATTTATTGATTTCGATTTTAAAATAAAAAACTGAATATTTTAAAAAACCGAATAACAATTTATTATATATATATATATATATATATATATATATATTATATATATATATATATATATATATCTTTTAATTATTTATTAAGTTACTAAATTGTTTTTTAAATAGATTAGTAATTATTACCCAATAAAAAATTTAATATGCACTTAAAAGTTATTTATCTATAAATTATTAAATTATAATATATTTTTTCTTAATTGTTGTTCGTAAGCTTTAAATCATGACTAAAAAAATTACTTTTTGTTTAGAGTTAGAATAATATGCAAGGTATTTTTCTTTTAAATGTCCTGCTTCTTGATAACCGGATTGTAAAAGCCGATCCAGTTAAATTATAATTTAGTTGATTTTGATCATATTAGAATATATTTTTGACTATTGGTATTAATGTTTTAAAAATAAAAATCAATTTGACTTCACTTGATTGGATTGGATCGGACCGATCCATGTGTTCTAGCACCCCCAAAAGTCCAAAACACGTGACTACAATTTGTACTATTAAAGTAAATGAAAAATGATACTATAGAATAAAATACATATTTGATCTGTGTAGCATAATAAAAACTTTCAAGTTTCGTCCAAGTTTTCTTATTCTTTCGAAGTCGTTCTCATGGTTTCATATGTGGATTTGGTCAGTCTCATTACACTTAACAATAACATCCTACCTTTTAGATTTTTAAAAATGACTAATTTATCATTATCTCCTCAACCTTCTTCCTTCCTTCCAAGAGAAACCCTAAAATCAAACACTTCCAAACAAGTTGTTAAAAATTAAACCTAAACTTAACCCACACTAAAATTAAAATGAATGATGAACTAAAAACCAAACTTAAGGCAATTTTCCGTGTTGCAAAATTGTGAAGTTTTATTCATTCGTTTTTATAAGGAAACAAAAATGAAGATATTGTCTTTGGGCCCATTTTTCCTATTCCATGTAGAAAATAGGCTGGCCTTCTAGTACCCCTTCTTGTGATTACTTAAACATCAAAACTTAAACCCTTAATTTGGCTTTGAAACCCGTTCCATTTTGTTCGATTCTTCAATTTGTTTCAATTCTGAAATCCATGTTGCAAGTTGTACATTGAAATCCAAGTATTCATCAATATGTTTCTTGATAATAGAATATAGGCGATGTATATCTATGGAATTTGTTTGAAACCATTTGTTTTAAGTTTATTTTATTTTTCAACAAAGAGGGTGGAAAATACGAAACGTATGGAAGTCTAAAGACCAAATCTGTCAACATAAGAAAGTTTTATGGCCAAAGTCTGAAATAAGAAAATTTAATGGCCAAAGTCTAAAATAACAAACTTTTGAGGCCAAAGTCTAAAACCCTAAAACTATTCTTTGTGGCCAATGTCTAAAACAATAAAACTATACTACTCATAAACCAATTTGTTTTAATATATATAAATAATAATAATTGTATATAACATATTATACGTTTGAATGTCATGACTTATTCCATTATCTTGTTTGTGATTACATTCAATAACGCCAAACAAACTCCTAAGTTTAAAAGTCCATAACTTAAAAGATTCAACTTTAGAATACATTTAACATCAACCTAAATACACAGTTTGATTATGAGACCATGATCAAAAGAAACCAACTAAACTACAGAATCTGCATACAAAAAGCTACAGCTAATTCGAATGTTTCTTGCCATCTTTTAAAGAGAAAATCCAAAGAAGACAATGAACTGTGAACGCATATAGAAACCATGAAATGACTTACTGTTTTATTGTTTCAATTGCATCTGTTTGATCTTCTATTTTGTTGACCTCCTGAATCCAAATCTTCACAGTTTTATCATTTTCAAGAGCACCTGAAGCAATCATATTCTCAGTTGGGTGACAAGCAACTGTTATCACAGCATCTGTGTGACCTTCAAGTTTCTGGACTATTTTTCTTGTTTGAAGTTCCCATAAGTATACACAATTGTCCTCTGACCCACTCACGATGTATTTGCCATTTGTGATTGAAAATGCTGATGAAATGCAGTATTTTGAGTTTGTGTGGCCATTGTAAGTCTTTAAGAACTTGCCAGTTGATAGATTCCATAACCTCTGCATCAAAAATATCACACAAAATTGGCATTTTTAAGGGAAATAGGTATGAATTACTGATTGCAAAGAGAAGAAAGAAGAATTGACTTACCAGTGTACTATCCAGGGTACCTACAAGGATGAATTTTCCATTTGGGGAAAATTTGACAAAGCTAACAGGGGGGTTTTCATCATCGATCAGAGTCTTCATACAATGCCCTGTGGATGCATCCCAAATCCTGCACAATCCATCGTAACTACTAGACACGATTAATGTCCCATCGCGATTGAAGTTCACAGCGGTTACAGGATCAGAATGCGCCGGAAGCACCTTCAAGCATTTGCCAGATTTCACGTCCCAAACCCTAACTGTCTCATCGAAGGAACCGGAGACAATCATGTTCGATTGAGGGTTGTAATTTACGCAAAAGACGTAGTTTGTGTGTCCGGTTAGGGTTTTGACGAGTGAGCCGGTGGATACATCCCAGAGGCGGACGGTCTTGTCATCGGAAGCGGTGGCGAGGTACCGAGCGTCGGAGGAGAATGCGACGTCTGAGATTCCTTGTTCGTGGCCGATGAATTCTTGGAGAGGAGATCCATCGGAGGTGGACCATGTGCGGGCTGTCTTGTCGGCGGAAGAGGTGGCGATTAGCTTGCCGTCGTCGGAGAATTTGACGCTGGAGATGGAACGTTTGTGGCCTGTGAGGGTTTGCTTTAGCCTGTAGGGTTGGGGCATGGAGGCGGTGCTATCGGGTTCTTCCGATGAAGCCATTGTTGAGAACAGAGGCAGGTTTTGGAGATCGTCTACGGAGCTCTAAACCTTGATACGAAAGTCAAAACTTAAAACTTAAAAGTGGTTATGGACTTGTGTTTCTTCTACTTATAATTAGATAATCATGTCTTCAATGGAGATAAAACGACTGCTTCTGAATTCTGATATACGACCTACACATATGAAAACGCAGACATGAACACTTTTAAGCTTCTTTTTTTTTTTTTGAATTATATAAAAAAAAAAAAAAAAAAAAAAAAAAAAAAAAAAACTCTTAAATTTATGTGTGTAGATGTCTGGACAATACAAAAGTTTTTGTCATAAATGTTAGTTAGGTAACAGGTTTCTCATGTTACCACTCCATAGTAGGTATGAATATTGGTTCCAACCCCAACCAGGAACCGAATACCCAATAACCGAAATGCACAAAAATAGAGTACCATAGGTTTTCGTTTCTAGAATCGGGTTTAGCCAACGAAATGTTTTTTCTAGAACCGGTTTTTGGTTTCAGGCCCGAGAACCGAATACCCAAAAACCAAAAAGTGGATATCTTGGAATCGGGAACTGCATCGATATATTGTAATTGTGGTCCGGTCTGGGGAGTCGACTCTAGTTATTTTGGTCTGGTTCGGCTCTACCGGGTCAAATGCCCATCCCTAGTTCATAGCTAGTTGTTACGGGGAGCCAACATGGCGCTATGACGGAGTTTTGGCTGATGTGGAATGACAGGTGGCTTCACATTCTGTGTTGTTTAATTTGATTTGTTTTTTTTTATGCAAGAAGATGGTGTTGACGGGATTCGTCTTCTTATTTATCTGTTAAATAAATAATTTACATGTGTGCATGTATACGTGAATCAACAAGACGAGAGGAGAGATTAAGAATCAACGAGTGCTCGATTAATATATATATATATATATATATATATATATATATATATATATATATATATATATATATATATATATATATATATAGAGAGAGAGAGAGAGAGAGAGAGAGAGATACATAGACCAAAACAAAATTTTGGAAGAAAGACAGCAACCTCGCTAATGCGATGGAGGTGCGCAACCACGTTGGTTCCACGGTGCCAGAAGACAATGACGCAACTGCAGAGGGGTGCTGGTCAGGTTTTACACAGCAGTAGCCACATATATTAGTCCACATATTCCTTCATATTTGATTTCTAAAGTTCTAGGGCTTGATTCAAGACTCATATAACATATATTCGTTTCCATCTCTCTCTTGTTTCTTTTCATCGAACACACACATCGAATTATGGCAACCTATTTCGACGTGATTCTTGATCGGGTCAATTAGGGTTCCTTCAAAGGTGTATTTGAGTAACAAATTCTCTTTCTTTCACAAAACCAGACAAATATCTACGCGTTGTGCATAATAAAACTATATAATTAAATTTTGCACATATATATGTTGAAAATAATAAGACATTAACTATAAAATAATCTCTTACTCTAAGTTGATATATAAATTTGTAATTATTTTGAACCATATTATAAAATACACATCTATCAGAATAATATCATTCAATAACATCTATTCGCGGTTTGTGTTTAAATAAAACAAAACATAGTTTTTGATTTAGTATTACGATTTAACGTTATGATTGATTAATTTAAAAATTACTTATCTATTAATTTTTTAATTTCGATCATGATGGTTAATTGATATATGTACCATTATTTATAAGTTAATGCAATGTAATATTTTTTGTTAATAAATTGAAAACCATTTACTAAGAAAGATATGAATTATAAAAAAGATAGTTTTTGATATGTAACATCCCAAAAATCATGAAAAAAAAATTTGTTTTCAGAAACCATTTTCATAAACCATACCTTATACAAACATTGTTTTCAAATCATAGTAAAAAAAATCAAATTATCAAAACATCTCTCAAATCATAAAAACTCCATAGGATGATGTGTACGATCAAGCTTTTTGTCTTCCCCCAATCATCTGAAGTACCTGAAATATTGAAATCCACAATTGTAAGTCAATTCTTAGTGAGTTACCCCAAAATACTTCACACAATAATAACAAGTACAATACATGCATACAGGGTTTGTTGGCCTATGGCCTCAACCAAACCATCCAGGGTTCGTTGTCATATTTCCTCAATCCAACCATCCAGAGTTTGTTGGCTTATAGTCTCAACTCAACCATCTCGGGTTTGTTGGTCTACCGCACGAAGCAGTACCACCTCATGTAACATCTCAAAAATCAGATAAAATTTTCATTTTTAAATTCATTCTGATCATATGATAATCATATCAAGACAGTCAAGAGTATATCATAATAAAATATTATCAGAGTACAAAATCCCAAAATCACGTGATGCGGAAAAACATAGGTGGATGCAGTGCGATCAGGTCGAACCATTCCCTTTCAAGCTGAAAGTATCGTAAACATAACTGAAAACCGTAACCACAAAGTTTAGTGAGTTCTCCCAAAACACCCCATACCATACAAACATACAGTCAAGCATATATGGGTGCTTGCAATCCCCTTTGGTCTATTTCAACCGGATACAGTGAAGCATATCTGGGTGTTTGCAATCCCCTTCAGTCTATTTCAACCGGATACAGTCAAGCATATATGGGTGCTTGAAAGCCCCTTCGGTTTAATTTCAACTGGATACAATCAAGCATATTTGGGTGCTTGCATTCCCCTTCGGTCTATTTCAACCGGTATCGGGTCTATTTCACCCCTACCACTACCACATAATATCTTAACAAAAGAATCATAGAGTCATCAAGAAAATACAGGCATAACTGACATTTGTCATGAAGACAAGCATCATACTACATCATAAACTAGCAGGTCGGCATTGGTGCCTTCGACCCACGGATACAGTGAAGGAAACTCACCTCAAAATGAAGGTATCAAATCACACTCGAGTTGCTGACTCGCAAAATTCTCTCACTCTAAATCACAAGTAAAATAAACCCTAATTAGAAATTAGGTGAATAGCCTGCCACGAGGGTCCAAACCCCAAATCCTGTCTTTAAGGGAAAAAGTTACTTAATCCTTGCCTTATTGGGCCTAAACCACCAAGGCCCACATACAATTAGTCCCAAGGCCCAAAAGATATGTCATGTCAAAAATGGGTCCAAGTCTAAAAGCCCATCATAGAAAAACTCATGGCCCAACAAGGGCCCAAAGTCCTTAAGCCCCAAAACAGCCCAAAATTCATAAGCCCAAGTCTTCCCTCTGGTGAGTACGCTCAGCGTACCCTCGGAGTACGCATGGCGTACTCAAAACCCTCACAGCATCGGGTCCTTCGGCACGTACGCGCAACGTACATATGCGTACGCCCTGCGTACGCCCCAGATGACCAACTTCCATTTTAAGGTCTTAATCGGTTAAGACATGACGTCCAACTTCAGATCTAGGCTCCTTAAAACGTAGTAAGCCATAAAGTTGCCAACTTTATGTTTTTGCAGGTCTTAATCCAAAACCCGATTTTATCCATCTAAACCCATAATATGAACATCAACTTAAGCATGATTCATCAAAACCCATCAACATGATATTTTTATTGTTCCTAATAACTCATAATGGATAAAGTTTCGAACTTTATCCATTAGAATGGTCCAACCAACCAAGATCTAGTCTTCAAGTCTTAAAGGGACCAAAAGTGCATCTTTTCCAACTTAATCCATTAAGTCCAAGTCTCAAGCTTTTAGATCTGAATTAATATGATGTTTAGATAGATAAAGCTTCCAACTTTATCCATAACAAGGTCACAAACTTTCAAGATCTAAACTTTATGCACTAAAGTGACTAAAGCTCATAACACCCAAGAGTAGCTAGATCTATCTAATGCATCATCAAGATTCAAATTTTTACCTCTAGAAGAAAGATCAATGTGAACAAAGTCTGGATATACAAGTTCCAATGCAACTAACACTTCTCCAATGAGCTCCTTCTTCTCCAAGATGCACCAAGAACACTCCAAAGCACTTAAAAACACATTCTTTTTGCTTACAAGGCTCAAACTAGGGTTAGGGTTTCAAGGGAGGGTGTTGGAGAGGTGGAGGCTAAGAATGGAATGGGTTTGGGGAAGTTAAGGAGCTTAACTAAGGCTCAAACCTCGAAAATAGGGTTTGGGCACTGATCGCGTAGTCCCAACGTACTCCAGGTACGCCCAGTGTACTCCATGAATGCATAGTACGCCCAGTGTACTCCATGTACGTCCAACGTACTCCATGTATGCCTAGTACGCCCAGCGTACTCCAAGTACGTCCAGCGTACTAGACTAAGCCCCAAAACCCTCCTAACTTCAAACGTTCATAACGTCTTCATCTCAACTCCGTTTTCGACAATCTTTATATCCACAGAAAGGTAATGAGAAGCTCTATAATCCTATCAAATCTCTTTTTCCTTAAAACTTCCCGAACTTAAATCCAAAATTCATAAAAGGCCCAAACCATCATTTTACGGTTATACCCATGGGCTCCAAAGCACCAACCGAACTCTCGGATCATCTAATCTACATTACCAACATCCAAAGGGTCCTAAATCTCACTATCACCCAAGTCCTGAATCCTTATGATAACTGGTCTTTGGGTCACGGCCCCGAATTATGAAACGATTCGAAACAGGGTGTTACACCTCAACCCACCCATCTAGGGTTTGTTGGCCTCCCGCCTCTACAGATAAACAATAATCAGCAAGTACAAGTAATTATACAGATCTACCAATCTAATAGGTTACTACAGCATAGCAACATCCTATATACCATGATACGTAACACAACCTAGTGGGCCGACATTGGTGCCTTCGACCAATGGGTATAGTGAGGAAACTCACCTCAAAGTCTAGAAGATGGTTGAACTGACCAGTGCTCCAAATACTTGCTCTACAGATCCCCTAAACATCAAACAGGGACCAAGCTTCAATATACTACTCAAATTACTCCATTTGGCCTAAAGTCAAACTTGGTCAAAGGCAACGGTCAACGGTAAAAAAGTCAAAAAGTCAACATTAGCCAGGTTACGCCATGCGTAACAGCTCTACGCCCCTATGTAAAGCATCATATGAATTTTACAGGACAGAACAAGGCTACGCGATGCGTAGCCATAGGTACGTCGTGCGTACTTACGTTGAAGCCAAACTTTCCATTAAGTGCTTCATACAGAAAGACACCACGTCCAACTCTCATATGTGGTCTAAATAAATGTATTAAGTGATCAAGTTCCAAACTTTGTGCACTAGCACGACTCATATGGGCCAAAAAACTCATGCATGGATGGTTAGAAATGACCAATATCCCATTTTTATGACTTAATACCCACAAATACATCTGGAAATGCACTTTACAAGATCTAGAACAATTCACACTCAAATAGACCGATTTATGGGACAAAAATGACATAAATGTAACATTTAAGCTAGATCTAACAATGGAAGCATAAAAGTACAAAAATTATACCTTCAGGAGATGAATGGAAGGAAAGGACTTCCAGATCCAATGTTGATTCAAGCTTCCAACAACTCCACCACCTTCTTATTTCTTCAAAAGCACCCAAAAACACTCTTTAAGCTCACAATGCACCAAAATGGAGTTAGGGTTTCAAAGGAAACGTTTGGGGGATTGGAGGCTGAGGATGGAAGGGCCATGAAAGTTTAATTCCTTAAATATGGCTCAAAACTCCGAAATTTGGGTTTGGGCTTTGGCCAAGTATGCCATGCATACTAAGATCTACGCCCTGAGTAGATCATTAAAGCTCCGTCTCCAAGATTCCTTCTATGCAGCGCGTAGAAGGCTATCTACGCAATGCGTATATCAAAATTCAACATTTCCATTTTAAAAGATAAGGAAATGAATTTACCTGCAAGGATCGGGTGTTACATGATATTTTTTTATTTAATTTGGTTTGTCGTTCTATATTTACAATATTTAAACCTTTTTAACTATTTTGAAAAATAATATTTGAATATATTTTTTAAGTTTATTTTTTATTTTGATTTATGTTTTGGATTTAAAATAATATTTAAATTAATATTATAAGAATCTTTTCAAAAGTCTATCAATAATAATATAATATTTTATATATTTACAATACTTAAAACATTTTTAACTATTTTAAAAATAACATTTTGAATATATTTTTCAAGCTTATTTTTATTTTGATTTATGTTTTGAATTTAACATAATATTAGTAACAAATAAAATTATTATAATAATCATTTTAAAAGTCTACCAATATAAGATAATATTTTGTATTTAATAACATATTTTATATTAATATATTAATTGTATTAAGTTGAAAATTAAAAGGTCATTAAAGTTTTAAATGCATATGATGATACGAAAAATATTTCATTTATAGTATAATATGATGTCAAAAACATTATAAGGGGTTTATTTTGGGAAATTAGCTCAACAAAATTCACCTCATACTCCAAAAAGTGAGGTATGGAGAGCGGGACAGATTCAAAAGAGTCGCTCCATTTTATGGATAATGCACACAAATTTTTCTTTCATTTGCAATTACTTTCTAACCAAAAATATGGGTTGCTGGTCGAGGCCTTCGTTCCCACTTTTAAATAGAGAGATGTTCTCGCCGCGAAGAATGATTAGCCGCACATTAGAAGCAGTCGATTAATAACAAGATACACAGTGAGATTTTTCCTGAGAGCAATGAATTTGAGTTCTTGTTTGAATAAAAAAAAGTTTAGTAAAAAAAAACTACATGACAGAGACCCTTCCGTTCAGAGGTAGCGATATACTTTTCATGCGTATGTGACCGAGCTTTAACACTTAAAATCGTTCTCTGGCCTAATATGAAATGTGCATTTTCTAAAAATCGGTTACTTAACAAACTAGTTTCGTTTATATATCGAATTTTAAACAAACTAGTTGGGGTTGTGCTCCTCTAATTAGATCTCATGTTTGGTAAAAGAAAGTTATAACCAACCTATACCCGATTAGAAATGGGCCTTTGTAAATAGTTATATGATTGATTTTTTAACTGATTAAAAAACGACACAACTTACTAATCAGTAAAAATCAAAAGAAAAATAATCACCATGGTTTTAGGGTCACAACCCAACCTTCTTAATTGGGTATGCATAATCGATTTAGAGGTAAATAAAATCGGTCTTAGTTTGGTACTTTGGTACCAGATGGTTTGGTCTTTTTTCGGTATCGGGTGAACTAGTGTTAAAAAGGACCAATGTGGGGAGATATTTTTTGGTTCAATTTTAGTATGGTGCTCCTTGTGATCGTCGAATTGGTTTCGATCTTTTTTCAGTTTGGTTTCCATATTTTTTTTTGTTGATCGCTTTGTGCGGTCTTGTTGTTTAACATTAATATAAAACACTTTAATAATAAAACAAACTTAGAAATTGTTTTATAATATTACATAAATTTTAAAACATAAACGTATCATTAAGAATACATAACCGGAGGGAAATTCCAATAATTGTAGTTTTGTCGATATATGTGTATTATTGGTTGGGGGTGGCGTTGAATGATGTACTTGTGGTGAAAAAAATCATTTTGGAGTGTCAACAATAAAGTCTTTGTCGTTTTCTTCAACATCGGTGTTAATATATGATGACGGATCGTTGCATTTCGTCTTTCAAAATATTTTTGTTCAATGTTGGTTAAGCATTCTACAAGATATTTGTTAGTATTGTCAAATCGAGTAATATTATCGTTTTTATGTGTGACACGACATGACACGATAATTTTTAGGTAACACAATGTCGTGTTTTTTTACTCACGGAAACAACCCAATTGAAACACGACAAAAATAACATAAAAATAATCATTAGCTTATTTAATTCATATTTAATCATACAAAACATGAAAAACACATGTTAGTATTGTGTTAATTTTGTGTTGAAATTTAAACACAAACACGACGTCATATTTTTTACACTAAACACGAACACAAATTCATATTTCAATTTTATCAAAATTTCGTTTTGTGTCATATCATCACTTCACACCCGATATCCACGTAGGTTTATGCTTTGTTAAAAATTATATATATACAAGTTCAAAATTGTAAACAATATGGAAATTAAATGTGTTTTGTTATTTATTATGTTAAAGGGTGAGTTATGTAATATTGACAAGTATCAGTTAAAGTTCTAAGGGGTATGTGTGTTATTTTGAAAAGTAAATGGATTACGGCTCATGCTTGTCAAAGTTTTTCAAACACCCGGTTAACCGGGTCAGATTCGTCGGGTTTGGTCCGGGTTTACACCGGACTTGAACCGGTATTCAATCTAGCGTATATATTGAAGACTGCAAGGCAAAGGAGGCATAATTCAACTCATTTTGTTCTTGTTCGTCTTTCATATACTCTCTCATCCTCTTGTTTGTATTTAGGGTTTCTTTTGTTGAGTTCTTGAGTTTGTAATTCTACTATTGTTCTTGTTTTTAGTTGTAATCATAATCATTGTTTTCAGTTGTAATCATAATCATTCGAGTGTGAGTGTGATTGTAGTAAGGTTTCTTATGCAAGTCTATGAAAACCAACTGGTTCTTAAAGTAATAAAAAGGGAACGGTTTATGTTGGAATCCTTTGTGTTTTTGTACATGCTTAAATATCGAATGCCGCTTTTGGATCAAAATTTGAGTGAGTGGCATGATGACTGCTGCCTTTTTCTGTCGGACATTGTAAGCATACAACTAATATCCGTATTAAAATGAGAGAATACAAAAGAAGATATTGATATGAAAAAATGGTTGGAAAGGGAGAGTATTTGGGTTAAAAAATTATACAGCTACGTAGCATCAACTAACCATATGTTATTGTCGAGAGCGGTCTAGGTTGAAAAGTAGTCAATTATGTAGTCGTTGGAGGAAAATTAGCCATTGAGTCCAATATTGATAATAATATCAGTTTTTCAGAGACCGGTTTAAGATTGTCTCGAACCGATATGAGACCATCTTGAAAGTGATTGAAGTCCAAAATGTTGGAGCGAACACAAACCGGTCAATCTAGATTGGACCACTGCTCAATCCTAAACCAGTCCGGTTAGTTCGTTAAACAGTTTGGACTTCAAAAAACCATAACCAACCAAAATCGGACAGGCCTTCCAACTTTCATAACTGTATTGGGCCCTGTTTGACCAGGCCTCTTTAGCCACTTTCAGGCTGCCCCAGGCCCTTTGATGGTCCTACCACTAGAGTAAACTCATATATAGTCAATAGAAGATAACTAGATAAGCCCGGTATCCAAATGTCACCCACCACCACCCAAGCCCAATACAATAAATAGCGTTTTTGTTCCATAAAATGGCAAATGCATATCTTTCTAGGTAATCATGGTAATCCCATAGGTGGATCGAGCTTTATCAAGTAGTTTCAGTTTAATCTAGTTCACAACTTTATCGAGCTCCGACATAGAGAATAAGTTGTTGCAAGAGTTGTTCCGTCAAGATCGAATCAAGGCTGTTGAATTGAATATAAGTGTTATAGATACAATCAAATTATTTAAAAATACAACACGAGGAGCTTTTTTTCATTAGATAATATAAAGCTTAAACCGCAACAGAAAATCACGATAACTATAATCCTTTAGTAAATAGAAACACACAACTAGACTAATATACATCCGTTGTGAGGCCAACAAGCCTTGATTCCCATCACCAATTCATCTTCCTTTGAATCAAAATTTTGGACCAGCACCAACAATCTCCTGAGTCAGCTTATCATCCTTCCCAATTTTATAGTTGAGAAACACCTCAAAATTGTTCTTGAACAACCCACCCAACTTCAACAGTGTCTCCTTATATGCCTTCTTGTCGGACCACTGCATTCCATATATCAAAATAAACAATCAAAAACTTAAAATTAATTTTATAAAATCAGCCAAAAGCCTTACAGTGTTCACTGGATCAAGAATCTCCGAAGGCACACCCTCCACCTCAGTTGGGATCTCCAACCCAAACACTTGGGTTTTCTTGTAATTAGCACTCAAAAGTTTCCCAGAATGAATCGCATCAATGATCTTCCGAGTGTACGCCAATTTCATTCGACTCCCAGAACCATAGCTACAAAAATATATAGGGACTCAAAATACGTATCTTTGAAACCATTTTCCCAACAAAACAAGATGTGTTTATATATTATATACCTGCCACCTGACCAACCGGTGTTAACAAGCCACCCAGTAGCACCATGTTTCTCCATTTTTGAAGCGAGCATTGCTGCATATTTAGTAGGATGTAACATAATAAATGCCGCACCAAAGCAGGCGGAAAATGTCGCACGTGGCTCCTTAACACCCTCCTCAGTCCCAGCCACCTTCATAAATATAAAACAAATCCATCAATTTATTTACATTAAATAAAAATAATTTAATGTTACAGAAAAATAAAACAAAACTGTACCAGTGCTGTATAGCCGCTGATGAAGTGATACATAGTCTGAGCAAGGTTAAGCTTGCTCACTGGAGGGAGTACACCAAATGCATCACATGCCAACAGAATAACATTCTTAGGGTGTGGACCAACACAGGGGATTTTAGCATTTGGGATGTACTCGATCGGGTATGCCGCACGTGTGTTCTCTGCATTTCAAGGAAAAAAAGGTTTTTATTTAAAAACTGGACCAAACTTGCGATTTTAGTAAAGTATAGGGACCAAATTTGCATTAAATCATATAAAACTTATACCTGTGACAGATTTGTCTAGATAATCCACCTCTCTAGTATGTTCATCAAATACAACATTTTCCAGCACTGAAATTACAAAAGAAGGTAATAATTAATTTTACTACATGTTGTTAAATTAAAAATTAAAAATATATAAATGAATCATACCGGTTCCAAATTTAATAGCGTTCCATATATCCGGTTCTTTTTCCCTAGAGAGATCGATACATTTGGCATAACAACCACCTTCGATATTCGATACACCTTTATCACTCCAGCAATGTTCATCGTCTCCAATTAAATATCGATTATGATCAGTAGACAAAGTTGTCTTTCCGGTACCTATTTCAAAAGTAATAAAATAAATAAGATACAAAAAATAAATAAATTATCAAGAAGCCTAGTCATTAATAGTCATCCTGCTTAAAATGATATGATAATGCCAGGTAGTAGGTATGAGAGGGATTAGTGATGTGACACGTGTGGGACGATTAATGATCCTCACCGTTGGATGACGATGAGGCTTGGGGGCTTACCTGACAAACCAAAGAAGAGGGCAACATCGCCATTTTTGCCCATATTGCAACCAGAATGAAGGGAGAGGATTTGGCGTTTAGGCATGAGATAATGCATGACACCGAAAAGACCTTTCTTCATTTCCCCGGCGTATTGTGTGCCGAGAATTACCATTTCTCGTCTACCGAGATTTAAATCTATGCTAGTGGATGATGTCATGTAGTGTGTGTAACGATTACAAGGAAACTGTCCAGCATTGTAAATAGTGAAGTCCGGAGTACCGAAATTCTCCAGTTCTTCGGCTGTGGGTCGGATGCACCTGCAACCTACCCAGTTATCCACTCGTCGTGTACTCTTACACACATTTATTTTTTATTATCTTATCTATTTTTTTACCTTTTTATTATAGAATTTAATTATGACACCTTGTTGAAAATATAAAATACTTATCTGGAGTGGGCTTGGATTTTGAGTATCTATCTGGGAATCACAAATAGAAACACATAAAATGTATTTGTTGTTATTTTATTATTTGCTTACATGTTGTGCATGAACAAAGAGTGGTAAGCTCTAGCGGATACGATTCGGACTTTGATTCGGTTTTCTGGATCCCAGTTCAAGAATTGATCATTCACAACTACCTGAAAGTTTTAGTAGGTGTACAGTTAATTTCAAATCTATATGATTATTTTGTAACATACAACAATAAAATAACAAAAATACGATATGGATAAACGACAAAGGTCACCTCTTTCGAGGCCAAGAGATGAGATCAGTAACCAGTTTTGACACTTTAATAGAAAAGAGACAAGAAAGATTCATCTATCCTTTATCTTCACATATCTTGCCCATCATTTTTTCCTTCATTGATTATATATCTCATTATAATAGTGGGGACCTCTATATTATCTCTGTATTTCTTATACTTTCTAGTTCCTAGGTTGATATTGCTTTTGTTTCAGATTTACAAGCCTAAAATAAAGACTTTATGGTGAGATTAGTCACGTTATAGTCAAAATACCGATAAAAAAATCAAACTTCAATTAATTGAGAAAAATAACCAAAGAAAATATATGTAATACCTTGTCCAATGAATTCAAGTAATCGACAGCTCTTTCTCTGTTGACCAAGAAGGTGTGCTCATCCATCTCGATATTCGGGGAACCCCTGCACACATTTCAAAACCGATTTATGATCAAGATGACGAATCCAGATCAGTATTCAGTAGTGCGAGTAACTATTGATGACATCAGCAACTAAATTTGGAGGGATTGGAAACATACTTGCCCCACCATAACTCATCTTCGGTGGTCTCATCCCTAACCACACGCTTATCCTTCGGAGAGCGACCAGTTTTCGCACCAGATAATGTTGCCAATGCGCCACTCGATGTTATGAACGATCCTTTTTCGTAGTGGATCGCCTGCTCATATAGCTCTGCATATCAAAATATTAGCGATTATTGCCATTGTTGCAATGTTTGGAAGGTGTTATTGAAGTGTAAAATGGAGATAAATTACCTGCGGGGGAGAGATTGTAGAGGACATGGGTGAATTTGAGAGAGCTGTCACTAGCAGAGAATGTTGGGGCAAAATGGTGGTCAGGGGCGTGTGAAACCCTAGGGGTCTCTGACTGTCGGGCCGGATCTCCTCTTACCAACTTGGGTCCGGTTTCTCTTGTCAGTGACGCCAACGATGCACTGTAAAAAAAAAGTAATAATTTAGATTATTGAACACTCAAAATACAGTTTCAATAATTAGATATTGTGAAATTGAATGTTTGAATTTGATAGCAATTTAATGGCTGAATATTTTTTGCGTTTCGAAAAAGAGATTCCAAACTATCTTTCACATGACCATTGAAGAATTACCGATCCTAATAGAATAAAAATTATTTATTGAAGAAAAAAATATTGAGAAAGGTAACGTTCCAATATACAAAATGTTCTTTGTTCAAAAATAAACAGAGTTATTAAATTACATAGGATTTAAATTAAAATAGTATTTAAGGATAGACAAAATTGTACACACAGGCATTAATCATAATTTCATATAATAGTCTATAAAAACTTATGGTATGTTTAATAATGATGGGTCAATTTAGTCAATTCAATGATTGAAACTTACACAAAAATATCATTCACAAATCTCACGCGAGTCTACACAAGCATAGATGTATGCACACGTTAATGCATATGTACATATTAAAAAAGTTAGTACACACGTAACAAAAGTTTTATTACGATACATGAATTCAATTTTGTGTTTTTTTTTTAAAGTTAATAGATGGATCCAAATAATATGTGGATATACGTTCATATAATGTATCAATGAAAAGTTAAATAAAGGTTTGTATTCTTAATTAATATGATCTTCTAACTGTTTAAAAAAAATATTAAGTTGTCATCAAATGTTATTTGAAAAACAATCCTAGTATGCTTACTTCTTGAAGACAGAATTTATTCTTGTAAAGAATAAATCAGAAGTTTAGCGATGTGCCATGTAAACTGGCATCGGATTCTTGGCATAGCGTCTTGGAAGCCATATACGAAGATAGCCAAGTTTTTACCATTGAGATAACGTGAAGAATTATATTTAAAACTTAATTTCATCTACAAACTTATAGGATAAATTCATATTCATAATAATAATTAGAAAAAATACTAGCAAACTTCTTATTTTTTCTATAAGATCATAATTATTATAGGAGTCATATGCCCTATGTTTATTAAATTTATACAGACTTTAAGAGATAAATGGTCTGACAAAGTTATTGAACGTAATTTTACTACCAACCAATAACTGGGGTCCACTCTAACACAATCAACAGAATCCAATTTTGATTATTTAAATAATTGTTAATTACTTTATCAAATAAAATGTACGTTGCGAACACGTGTCGATAATCGATATACCTGATGGACTGGAGTTGCTGTTTATGGCGTTCCTCCTCCGTCAAATTAGCAAAAGCACCTTGAACACCGTCGAGCGGCGTTGTCGGTGCCGATTTCTTCCGCTGAAGTGAGTGCAGCTCATCGATGGTCTGCGCCTTCACCGTCGGCGCAGTGTCATCGTGACAAATCGCGTTCTGTCTCTTCTGCGTTTGTATCTTCGGCAGTCCGTTCCTACCACCGCTACCTTTTCCGGTGGCTACGCTCGCATTTCCATTTCCGTTCGACGCCATCTCGATCGATCGATCTCTTGCTGGATTAGTACTTCCTTCACATTCATAATTAAAATCAATCAATCATCAATTCTAGCTTCATCATTCATCAAAACCTAAAAATTATTACAAAGGAGAGACGGATACGGGATAACTCACCGGAAATAATGAACAACTAGAACTCAATCGAGGAGAAAATTTCGAATGCTTCGATCATGAAACAGATGTAATATGAATTATGGTGGAATAGAGTTGAGAAGGTGGTGAGAAGTGAATGCAGTATAAGGGTCCTATTTAAAGGGTTTTGAGTGGGACCTACATGCTTGTTAACTAGAGTTTTAACCAGGGTTGGGTATTTGTAACCATAGTTAAGTTTTATCCCAGGAATTCATGCTGATTAATTCATGCATCCTTCTTATACGTCTCGGTGGGGTGCGTGTACCATACATAAATGCATTTGCAATTTTGCATGGGAATAAAGTGAATTGAAGTTCATTTTCAGTTCCGTTCATGACGTGAAAATTGAAATACCTTTTATAAATTTCCTTTGACGTAGATAACATATCAATTATAAAGCCATGAGACCCAAATATTTTTTAGGCCATCTGCTGCAATTTGACAACTTTAGGTCATGATAAAATTAATAAATTGTAAAAAAAAATGGGGAGTTTTTTAGTGTACAACCATATTGTCAAAACCATCATCACCGTTTAAAATTGATTAAAAAGATAGAAGAATCTTAAAGGGTTATGCTTGACAAATCAAAATGCTTTAAAAAAAATTAAAATAATTCGAATAGACAAGTTAAATTATCGAAACCATTTCTATATATAATGTTGTTGAAAGTGTTTATGTTTAAGAATTCTTAATATCATCAATGTCTAAGGGTTTTGTTTGATAAATCACAAGGGGCCATTAAAAAAGATTAATTATGATAGGGATTGAACAAGTTCAATTATTGAAACAAAATCTCTACATAATGGTTACTTATGAGGGTGGAGGGAGTCATTACCTCCCAACCCATTCAATCCACTGTCACATGAGCTTCATATTAGTTTTTTTTCCATATTTTCCAACCCACAACATATGGAACCAGAAATTTCCCAACCTACTCAACTCATTCAATTTTTAATTTTAAAATTGTAAGGTCCCAATTACAAGATCCAAACCAGTGATCAAAACAATCAATAACAAGAATGTGTAGAAGAAGAGAATTATCAAGCAATGCACACGTCTATTAAGGAAGAACGTCTGGTACACCTTGAATTACACACAGTTGACCGTAAACACTTATGATACGTCACTTCTGACAGACTCTGACACATACTATTTATAGGGACTGACTGGCCATAAACAAGTTCACGGCCGTAAACATGTTTACGGCCGTGAACACCAACTCAGCCGTAAACACACATCAACAAGCTACAAAACACCTCTAACATGATCAAGACCCTATAAGACTTATACAAATGATTGCCTAGCCCAAACCACTAATCTATGACCTATCAATCTCCCCTTGGTTTGTGGCTAGCATAAGCTCGGTCTTCTTTTATCATGGGTTCTCTAGCAGCCTCACATTCGATCTATCTATTGCCCCCATCCATAGCCTATTGTCAATTATCTTAGCAACCATGTCCGTGAACTCTTTGGCAGCAGGCTCCATAACCTCCGACTTGCAAATAATTTGATGTTTTGCCAAGGTGTGAATATCTCTCTCCCTGAACCTCAGAAGATCTTTAGAATCAACAAGTCGACAGACAATATCGCTGTCTGAAAACTTGATTGCTATTGTGGATGTAGCCTCATCGTAAGCCCAAAATTCCATCCGATCCAGATATCCATCTTGAAAATGTTGAGGAATTGGAATTTCTTTCAGCTGTTTAGTAGCAGGCCACAACACTATCTTTATTGGCTCGTTTGTTTTGGGATCGAGCACATCTGGATCTTTTCTAATCATAGAGGTAGTTGTCGTCATTCCAGAAAATTTTTCTTTGACCTGTCGCTCCAAAAAGAATTTGAAATTGAAAGCCTGAGGGTCCTTGGAGGGATTGTGAAATGGAGCATTTGATAGTTCCGTAAGATCGACTTTTGTCCAAGAACAGAAGTCGTGAGTACTCTTGTAGTATTCAGAAGGGCCAAAGTTGTAACGCCCGTGTTTCTAGGCTAGGCATTAATATTGAAATAATGGTCTAGGTTAACCTTTGTAACTCATTTAGAAGAAATGAAAAGGAATTATGTGAATATTATGTGAATATTATGTGAAAATTATGTGTTTTATGCTTAATTATTAGGGTTTAATTAATTAAGAATAAAAATGAGCGTCAAAAATAAATATTAGATAAAGCCGATATCTATTAAGAAAGTTGTAGTGGTCGTGACAAGGATTACAGATATATAAATAATGCCGAAATCCGAGTTATAACGAAGAAGTTATGAGCTGTCGAAGTTTCGCGACAAAACCGGCACGGTGCCGAATGTCGTAAAAAGTGAGTTTTCGATAAACTACTTTTTAGCCTTAGTGATCTAAACGAAAGTCGTAGTGTTCGTTAAACCGAGAGTAGGTATAAAAAGAACGCCCAAATTTGACTTCGTATGAGGAAGTTATGATTTTTCGAAGTTTCAGCTTAACAGTAGACAGCTAAAAACTCGAATTTTAGATCGAGTGATTTTTAGCCGACACGACCTAAACGAGAATCGAAGGTCTCGTCAATAGTATCACAATGGTAAAAAGACAGATGAAAACGGACGTCGGATGAAGAAGTTATGAATTTTTGACGGATTTCCTGTCCCGGTCTGTTAAAAATAATAATATAAAAATTAAATTCAAAATTAGCCGAAGAAGTCTAAACGAAAGTTGTAGAGCGTAATTTTACCTACGCGTGCATATAAAGAACGTCAAAAACGGAGCTCGTATGCGAAAGTTATGGATTTTAAAAGTTTTGGCGCGAAAATCGAGAAATATTGTCAAAACTGGGAAATTTCGCATACGTGGACTTCGGCCACGTCACCCTCGCCCAAATCGTGCCACGTGTCCGAACTGCTGAGTCATCCGAGGCCACCTGTCGATGCGTGTCACATTCTCCTCGGACCGAAGGCTCGGCCAATCAGGAGCTGCCTCGTACCCCTCTATGACGCGTCCGAGCTTCGCATATGGTGCCACGTTCGAAGCCTCGGACTAGACCTCGGTCCAATCAGGAGGCGACATCGGACCCTCGCATGTGCGAGCCAGATGAACTGTAACGACCCAATTTTCACGCCCAAAAATTTCATTTAAAATAAGTGGTTTGCGCAACATTTGTAGTAAAACATCATCCGATCATATCATTTCATAAAAACATATCTCGTGTCTGAAAACCAAATCATAAAAATAATAATAATGTCAGAGTCCAATCCCAGAACATCTCATAATGCGGAAAAACCAATGCGTGTGTGTATGATGTGCCACTACCGCGCCAGCTCCTTCCCCTTCGCTGAAGAGGTACCTGAAACAAAACTGTAAACTGTAAGCACAAAGCTTAGTGAGTTCACCCCCCCCCCCCCCATCGTCCACATACCATACAATCATATAGCATACATACTGCCAGGCATTTCTGGGGTGCCCGACCTACCCGGTACGGGCATTCTGGGATGCCGACCTGCCCGTACGGCCATTCTGGGGTGCCGACCTACCCGTGTCAAGCCATTCTGGGGTGCTGACTACCTGTGTCAAGCCATTCTGGGGTGCTGACTACCCGTGTCAAGCCATTCTGGGGTGCTGACCTACCCATGTCAAGCCATTCTGGGGTGCTGACCTACCCGTCGGTCCTAACAACCGACCCTCGGGGACTATTCCACCCCCTACTGCTACTATCACATATATCATAACATAAACATACTATCAGACATATCTGGGGTGTCCGAACTACCCTTCGGTCCTAACAACCGAACTTGGGGATTATTCCCCTCCTACTACCACTATCACACATAACATATGATGCCAGCATATAAACATATCATCACATACTGTCATACATATCTGGGGTGTCTGACCTACCATTCGGTCTTGACAACCGAACTCTACTACTGTCACATATAACATATCATGCCAACATCTAACATATCAGGTAGTAGCAAAACTAGATGATATCACAAAGACAATCATCTAACATACAACTCCTACTGGTGGGCCGGCATTGTGGCCGTAGACCCACCGCTACTGGAAGGTAACTCACCTCGTAGTAGCTGCTGATCTGTGCGGGAACTCTCTATCTCCTGCTGCTGCTCCAGAAATCCTCCGGCTATAAATCCCACAAAACACACAATCAGAGTCTGATATCTACTCTTTGGGTAAAATGACCATTTTACCCCTGATCAAGTCAAGTCAAAGTCAAAGTCAACTTCCAGTTGACCTGACTCGCCGAGTTGGCTAGCCAACTTGCCGAGTCCCTAACCTTCCATTTGTCCTTATCCACGACTCTACTCGTCGAGTTGGTCCGTCAACTCGACGAGCTCTTCTCTCATATGAACGTCACATGAAAACTCATATGACTCGCCGAGTTGATGAACAACTCGTCGAGTCCACCTTCATCTGATGAACAAGATTTGTCCTCGACTCGCCGAGTTGATGAACAACTCGTCGAGTTCTAAGAAGATTGCCTTGGACTCGCCGAGTCCAAGAACGGACTCGCCGAGTCCAGTCTTGACCAATTTCATACAGTTGATTTAAATGGGATCTAGCACACCAAAACCATAGATCTGGCCTCCTAATGTCCACTTTATACGTAAAGTTCCAAACTTGATGCACATGCATGGGGTTTTTAGCTCAAAAATCCACATAAAGTGTCCTACAATGTGCATGGGGCTCTCATGGCCCTAAAGTTGGCACCTTTATGCCATGAAACCCCTCTTAAGGCCCAGATCTGAAGTCAAAACCCACTCCACACTTCCAATACCAAAACATGACTTAGCAATCCAAAGAAATCCCAAGTTAAATATGAATAAGACATAGATGAGTCAAGACAGGGGCATTATACCTTGAAGCTGCTGAAAATGAAGTAAAATCTCTGTATCTACTGTCCCCAACTCAGGTTCCAAGCTCCTTTCTTCCTTCCAAGCTTTACAACCACACAAGAACACCAAAAATGGCCTCAACAATGCACAAACGACTAGGGTTTCAATGAGAAGTGTTTTGGGAGCATAAGGGACAATATGGCCGTCATATCATTGCTTAAATAAGGTGCAAACCCTCGGATTAGGGTTTTTGGTCCGAACAGCACCTACTCGCCGAGTCCGGGACCCGACTTGTCGAGTTCATCACTTAAGTCCCGCGTCCCTTCTCGCTTCTACTCGGCGAGTTGGTCCTTCAACTCGCCGAGTCCAAGGCCAAAATGCAAAATATTTAAAGAATTAATAAAAAGAATACGTACCAAGAACCAGGTGCTACAAATCTCCCCCACTTATTTTAGACTTCGTCCTCGAAGTCTGCTGCTCGTTCCTGAAACAGCTCGGGGTAATGAT